GAGCGGAAGTGGAGGGTTTTTTATGCGTTTTGTGCTGCGTTAGATCCTGCGGTTCCCGAGGTGATAATTTACACGCCAAATCTTCACGAGACCGGTACGTGACAACCGAGAGCGCGGGAACGCTGGATTTGAAGTTGCGAGATCGTTTGTGGGCAGGGGGTCACAACTCTAAAATTTCAGCTTCCTAGACTTCGTGGTCCCTGAGATAATTTTATCCGTTTTTCACGGGATCGTACATGTTACCCGCGGGAAGGGGAAAGTTGAATTCAAATTTTCTGGGTAGCACAAGGGCGGAGGACATGCTCACAAAATTTCAGCCTTCTAGCTTATGTGGTTCCCGAGTTGAAACTGCGGGACAAAATGTGGGACACACACACACAGACAACCCTGTGACAATATGCGTTTTGTACTGCTGTTAGATAGCACAAAACGCACAATAAAAACGAACGAATTACCCCCTCTTCAACAACAGCGGTCAAACTGTCTAATGAGCCTGTGAATGTTTCCCACTTTCCGGCAAAACAATGGGACTAAAATGAAGCGAATTTGAACCAATCTGTCACTGAAACAAATCGCAGGCCGACAGACTTCCCCAGCAATGGTTTTCTTACGACAGGTGCTTTCTTCAGCTGGTAATGTGCTGACGTAGGCCCGGCCATGATAGCACATTTACGATTGTGAAACTGTCAGTGAGTGTGAAAAATCTTCATTTCTGAACGATTTATTGAACGAGACAGATCAAAAAAACGATCAGCAAATGAGCAGAATTCTAAAATTTTCCAACAAAAACGCCATTTTCTGTGAGTACGTTGGTGGGCTTCTGTTCTTCCAAAAAATCCATATGTTTTTTCAAGCGGAATGCTGTCGCTTCAGCTAAAATGAGTAACGGATGGTGCCGAGTTTCCAATTCTTCGCGACCCCTCTCCACAACCTGCATTTTCAAAGCATTAACATTGCCAGTTAGCAAGCTAACAAACCACATATACATAACAGTCGCATGTAAAAAAAAAAAAAAAACGCTCCACTCCATTTGATAAATGGTTCTTCTGTTCAGATTTTCGAGGAAGCCTCCGCTGGCATAACATAACAGTTGTCTAGTGCGACTAACACACATCTATCTCCCGGCATAGTTCGCCGTCTACCTCTTTTTACATATACTATTTCATAAAGCGCAAGTTAATCATCCAAACAAAGCAGAATGGGATTTTTCGACTGTTTTACAAACGGGATAATTGCTGAGGTAGGTGATTATGCGAGTTGTGAAAATCTCTCACGTTAAAAACTCCTAGTATCCCGACGAATTGCAAAAGGGAAGAAAAAAAAAAGAATCTATAGTTCTCATGAGGCCATTAATGTGAAAAAGTTTATTGGCTGGCGGATCTCGACGGGCAGCCGACATTTTCCATCTTGTTATTTTGTAAAATGTATTAAGTAGCATTACATTCTGGAAGACGGAAGGGGGTCAGATGGGGAAGGGGAGGAAGTAAGGGCCCTAACTACCCTGCCCCCCCCCCCTTCCCATTCCATCACAAACCATTCTTCCCTGGATAGTGGCTGTGAGGCTGCTGGATCCGCTTCTCTTCTGATGGGAAATGTCTTGCTCTCCAGTCATCCTTCTCTATCGCCCACTGTAGTGAAGAGTCAGTCACTTTTATCTCCTTTTTTTTGTATTGTAAACTACTGCGCCTTCACCACCTAGGCTTCCAGGATCAGTCTGGTAGCTACAATATGATTATGACTCGACCACTATTTTCAGTATTTCCCGAACGAACTAATAGCAAATGAGCCTCTGTGGTATGTCGAATCAGTTGGAGTATGTTTAGTCCATTCTGCCGAAGTACATCAGTTGTTCACCGTTAGTAGATGACCTAACTATGACCCGTGAAAAAGTATGAAATTAGCTGATATCATGCGTAATTAAGGAAATTTCGCTTACATTTAAAATTTTATTTATTTCGCGCCTTGCATCGGCTTTTTTGACTAAACTGTCCAGGGACGGAAGGCAAGGAGTATCCGCATCTGGATCACCAATAAATTCCTGCAAAATTATTAAACAAACTGTAAAGCACTGCCCATTTCTTCCTCTTTAAAAGCAAAGCACTTTCTTATTTCAACAGGCTTCATAATATATGGACTCCTGCAGATGGATGATTGCTGAGAAATATTTGGAAATTATTAAGTGAGCAAATTTAGTTCTTCAGCAAACAGAACACTTTTTTCAACTCCAATCCGAACATCGACCACTGGAATCGGGGATGGGTGCGAACTGGAACTGCGCAACTCAGGAACAAAGGACTCGGCGTAGTTACGCATGGAGTATATAAGCACCCTCCTGGCAACACTAACATGGAATCCTTACACCGATTTTCCTGGTACTTTTAATATTTCTGGTTTATAAATAAGGGGGGGGGGGGTTGAGTGCACTGTATATTTGCTTGTAAAAAAATAGTACTTCAGCATACTCCATCCCATTGTTCTCGTAAGACTACCGATAAAACACTATCAGAAAAGAAGAAAATAGCGGTTACCAGATAAATCTATAGAAAACTGTGAATTTTCCAGTACAACACTTACACTTCTGTTAACTGCTGCACTATTCAGTATCAGCGACTGATGACAGCTCGTGTAATAATCGGCTAATGCACGTCTTACTTTCGAAGCAGCATTCCTTATAAGCAAAAACAGTGATAATTCCATAGCTAAAACAGAAAATCAAAGTGAAAAACTGCCCAATAACATGGGTACAAGGTTATGTAGTTAAAAATAAACGAAAAAACAAAAGCGGAATTTGAAAAAAAGTTTTTCCAAATTACTGTTTTTAGAAATAAGCCGAGCATTAAATAAGCAAATTATTCACAAGAAATCACAAGATTCGACAAACAAAAAAACCCAGAAAATAAATTAACTCGTTTGGTAAGCTCTACAGCATAGTTCGTTGTGTCGTCTGCTTCTATCATTGGCCTTGTTTCGGTACTTTTACTCTCTGAGTCTTGTTTTTTCTCCGAATGACCTTCCTTGTTTGAACTGCAAAAAGTAATAGTTTATGATAAAAAATTAAAAATTCTCCAAGTTTTACACCTCAAAGTGAGAGCTTGATTAGCAGTAACAATCACCAAAACCATTCACTGACAAAGCTATCGATGGTCCCGTTTTTTTTTTTCGGGGATTACTGTCACAGATCAAATGGCTCCTAGCCAATAACATACTGCAATGTAAAACACATTCGAAGAAAGAGGATGCTTTCAAGTGAAAAGCAATCTAATTAAAATACTATTAACATGTATTTACTGC